TATTATCCGTTTAGTGACAGAGATTTCTGATGAAAGCAATCATTCTGCAACTCTTGACGAGTCTCCATTGGATTTTGTTTAATTTAATTTTGCATTAATTTACTCGAAGATCTTGAAGAAATCTTCCGTGGTGTGCCTGGAATTAGAATTTCAACAGTTTGGAGTTGTTTTATACTTTACAATGATCTAATGGTAGTAAATGAATATTCAGGTTGTCTGAGATTTTTCTGTAACTTTCTTTTCAGAGCTTAATAATCAGTTCTTTTTGCGAATTTGTCAATTCTTTACCTCTTGCCACGAATATCAATTACAGAATGTTATGTTTATATTTTTTAGCCTAAAAATAACTAATCGTAACATTATTGGAACATTCGAGAATATTCCACTTGAATAATAAAAATGATTAATGCAATTTAAAATCTGAAATTTGCATTATACGAATACTTTTTTCACCCTTTAATATGGATAAATGCAGATTTATCCTTATTAAATCCACTTTTTCTGTTTTCTATGCATAATTAGTTGTTATGCATTTGTGTACAGTTAATTATATGAAAATATGTTTATTCATTAGTCGGAAATACAATAAATTAAAAGTTTATATGTGTACGAATATTTGTTTCCCCATCCACTGTATTTACGAAAATTACACAAAAAAAAAAAATTTGAAATACTAAAGAGTAAATTTATTCAATAAAATCATCATTGGCTTCAACCATAGCATCCAGATGACTTCTCTTCTGGACAGTTTCCTTGTTTAAATTGGTGAATGCTGCCACAATCCTTGCTTTCAGCTCATCTTTAGTGTTACAAGAAGTTTTGTTGGCCTCTCGCTCAATAATAATTGTCCCCCCCCCATTGTATATCTGTTAAAATGAGATGTTTGTGATATTTTCAATTTTGCTTAACTTAGACGACAATTTATCCATCGCAACTAAATTTATCGATGAATATATATATATATATATATTTATTACACACATATATACATACATATATATATATATATATATATATATATATATATATATATATATATATATATATATATATATTTATGAGATGAGGTATTGTAACTATTTACACTATTTACATCGTTCGGACTGATGTTCTCATCTTCATTGCCATATTCACGACATTCTTTAGGGGGATATACACTGGAATTTTGAACTAAGCGTTTATTGCGTCCACGGCAGTAGAGTGTTCTAATTCCACGTGCCATACCTTTTTTATATCTAAGTTTTATTTTTTTTCCTTTAGTAATTCAACTCCCCAAGGTTTTGTTCCCTCTGCTGTGGCCGGGTATTGACTCACAAGATTTTGAGTCAAGTCACTTTTTGGTTTACTAATCAGCGCCTTTATCCCCTAGACCATGGTTGACTTGATTCGTTTTTATGGATTATCAACTCTTTGGAGGTTATTTAAAGCCAGAAAATATTTTTAGATTATAAAAACTATTTTTTAGTGGAAGAAATTTTTTAATATTATTAGTATATGTTTTTTTTTTTTGTAATTGCGTTTTTATTCATCCGATTGAAGCAAGGTGATAAAAACCACTAGACTTTACGTCTCCATCTAGGCAACTGAACTGTAAATTGATGAGACCTCAACGCCAATCGAGTACTGCGCTTAAATTCAAAAAGTCTAGATGCCATATCGAAGAGCGATATTTATTGCGCTTATATACAGAAATGTGGCACAAGGCCAAAATAGGGAATGGAGAAAAGGATGGTATTCTTTTGTCATAACATGAAACTTAGCTGACCACAAACACTGACCCAAACATAGCACAATATTCCTTACACACACACACACACACACACACACACACACACACACACACACACACACACACACACACACAACAACAACAACAACAAAAAACATAAAAACAAAAAAAACATTTTTTTTGCCTCTCTTTTGAAAAATATTTTATATTTTATTTTTTGGAAACCAGGCATTCTGAAACATTTTTCAATGAGAAGCTTATTCTATTAAAATATTTTTTTCCGTCATCACCACTTAAACCCCACCAGCACTCCGTTTGTTAAGCTAATTTCGACACTTCGTTACCTGAGGGACATTTCTACTAAAAAAAAAAAAAAAAGACAAAAATTAAAAAAAAAACAACTATTGGCGATTTTTGCTACAGAAGACTAGACGTGCAAAAATATTCTCCAATAGAAAGCCTTTCTCCGGAGGAAACAGCACTCTTGACACAATTTCTTTCTTTTAAGAAAAAAATATCTTGAATCACGTATTTATCCACTCTCTGAAGGAAACTAAATTTATTTTTTTATTCGACAAATCTGTGATCCGGCACGGATATAGTTTTTTTTTTTCTAGTTATTTTTTAATAATTTCAACAGAAGCAAGGTGATATAAACCAGTAAGACACAAGTAAATTTTTAAGAGGTAATACTGCCTTTAGTATGCAATGTGTTAGCGGGTGTGGATGAATTAGAAACAGAATCATTAATAATGGCCAGAAAGAGAAAAGAGTGATCAGGAGGACAGTAGATAGAGATTGACATTGCATTTAAAGTTTTGCACATTAAAGTTGGCGAGAAAGCATGGAGATGGAAGCAAGTTCCAGAAGTGAGAATTGTGAGAAAATAAACTTACATTATTTACATTATTCGGACTATTGTCCTCATCTTTGTTGCCATATTTATCACAACGTTTCGGCCTTTCAGTATCTGTCTATATTTCTGAGATGAAGTATTATGTACACTATTTACATTAGTCGGACTATTGTCCTCATCTTTGTCACCATATTTATTACAACGTTTCGGCCTTTCAGTATCTGTCTATATTTCTGAGATGAGGTATTATGTCCACTATTTACATTATTCGGACTATTGTCCTCATCTTTGTCGCCATATTTATCACAACGTTTCCGCCGTTGTACGCTCCGGCCTTCTTCAGGTGGTTGGAATGTCGAACTGAACCCTTTATTTCGCTCACTGGGGTAGACTGTTCTAATTCCACTTGACATGTTTAATGGATGTCAGTTATTAGTTATCTCCTGTTAATTTCTCTTTGAAAGTTCTCCACTGCCTTAACCGGGTATTGAACTCACACTCCTCTTGGCTCTCAGCAACCATTTTTACCAGTACTCATATTGCAATTTTTGCTGTTATCATCACATGTTTTTACCAGAGCTCATATTGCAACCTTCGTTGTTATTATCGCTTGGATCCTGTCATTGGATCTAACCAACGTCTTTATCCACTGTGTCATGTGTCCTTGAGGACATCTGTGTATGAATTTCTGGATATTATAAAACTAATGTCTCAGTAACCATTTTTACCAGTGCTCATATTGCAATTTTTGCTTTTATTAATTCATGTTTTTACCAGAGCTCATATTGCAACTTTTGTTAATATCGCTTTTCTCTGGCACTCCTTATTACTGGTTCTCATATTGTATTCATTTCTGTGCTTGGTCGGCTCAGGAGATTCTTGTGGCCTAGCATATGTGCTGATTCCTTAAGTTTACGAATTTTCCAATGGTGTTCCTTGTCTATGATCTCAACCTGATCCCACAGAGGGCGGTGATCTCCCTTCTCTCTCCATATGTGGTCAGCCACGCCTGATTTTTCCACTTCATCTCATGTTACAGCTTTCTGGTGTTCTTAAAGCCTTACCTTAAGAGGGTGGCCTGTCCTCCCTTTATATTTCTTTTAGAAACTGTTAGCATATAACTTACGGCTACATCTAAAAATGATTATATGCCGTTGTTTTATTTTATAAAGTGCTCACAATAAGACAAAGTCTGAAAAGGGTGTTTTTTTCCCATGACACGGCATTTTTTTTACTACCTTCACTCTTTGGCAATGTTTATTGTTTGAGAAAACAATAAATAGAATTTGAATAAAAACTAAATATACGATGAAAGTGAATGCTTTCATTTTCTTGTTATTGAGAATTTACAAAAAAAAAACAAAAACAAAAAAACAAAAAAAAAAACAGAAAAAGTCTTTCATAGAATTTGTAAGGAATTATGAAGACTTATGAATTCTTTTTAAAACACCATTTCTCCAGACCTTATTTCAAGTATATTAGCGTAGAAAATGCTTTGGCCAACTTTTTTCCTTTTTTTTTTTTTCTAATCGGTATCATCCCAAGCAAGGCAGTAAAGCCACTAAGACACAAGGGGGTTACTGGGTGTAGAAAAATTAGGAACAGAAACATTAATAATGGGCGGGAAGAGGAAAGAGTAATCAGGAGGACAGTAGATAGCGATTGCCTTTGCATTTAAATTTTTCTATATTAAAGTTGGCTGGAAAGCATAGAAATGGAAGCGAGTTCCACAATCAAGAAGGCCGAGAAAAGAAACTGTTAGCATAGAACTTACGGTTACATCTACTCAATTCAACTGTAAATTAATGAGACCTAGTTACTAATCTAGTCTCTCTTCAGGACATAGGCGATCATGGCCCTCCACTTCTCCCTATTCTTTGTAGTTCTCAGTATGTTTTGTCCTTGTGTTAATATTTTTGTGTTATTTTTTAATCTTTTTTTTTTTATTAAAGCGAGTTCACCCCTTGCAAGGCTTTAAAGTCACTAAGACACAAGGGGTTATTGGGTGTGGAAGAATTATAAAACAGAAATATTACTAAACCACGAGAACTAAAAAAAAGAGTTATCAGGTGGACAGTAGATAACGATTAACATTGCATTTAAATGTTTGTAGATTAAAGTTATCTGGAAAGCATGGAGCTTGAAGAGAGTTCCACAAGCGAGAAGTGCGAGAGAAGAAACTGTTAGCATAGAACTTACGGTTACATCTCAGCAGCTATTTCAACTGTACATTCAAGAAGTCAAGGTACCGTAACGAAGAGCTCATCGGGATTAATTAATAGCGGGGGGGGGAAGAAAGAAGTGAATTCATAGTTTTTATCAAATGGATTTTTCACGTAAGTCAATCCAAAGTGTTATTAGAATTCGGTTCTTCGATTAACATTGTCGATTACACCACCCGCTAATCCAAGGTGACAGAATCTGGTATTCCCAAGCGGTCACCCATGTAGATACTGGCCACGCTCGACGTTGCTTAACTTCGATGATCGCACGAGAACTGATGTTTGAAAAAAAAAAAAAAAAAAAAAAAAAAAAAGAAAATTCCTGTTCTTTATTGATTCGTTTTTTCATGGTTTATCAACCCTTTGGATAGTATATAGCAAGAAAATATTTGTTGTTTTTTTCATGGTTTATCAACCCTTTGGATAGTATATAGAAAGAAAATGTTTGTCGTTTTTTCATGGTTTATGAAACCTTTAGATAGTATATAGCAAGAAAATATTTTTCGTTTTTTCATGGTTTATCAACCCTTTGGATAGTATATAGCAAGAAAATATTTTTCGTTTCTTCAATATTTATCAACCTTTTGGATAGTATATAGCAAGAAAATATTTTTCGATTTTTGTTTTGAGATAATAACGGCTTAGTCAAACAATATTTGCTAATTAACCTCTAGTTGGGGGAGAAAAGGTGGATTCCAACCTTTCCCAAGGGTATTTACGCGTAAGTGAATATAACGAAGTCAACGGGAATATTGAACTCGGCACTCCGATTAACAAATCCTAGCCGTTATCCATGGCACCACACTTATATCTACGCTTCTCGCACCTTATATACCCAAAGCGGTCACATATCTAGGTCCTAACCATGATCAATGTTGATTAACTTTTATGACCGTACGGGAATTGGTATTTCAACGTGTTATTCTCGTATGTCGTCTTTTTGGTGTCGTCACTTCGTAGTGTTTTTTTTTTTATATCTACACGACCATCAGATGCCGACATCAGGAAGCTGGGAAGCGACCAGATTCTGCGTAGATTTCGGGTGTTTAATCTTCGTAGCTGTGGTAATTTCTGAAAGCTAATTTCAAGACACCAACCAATAAACACTGTTAAGGTCTCCCAATGGGTTTAATGATAACGAATTGAAGAATTTCAAAGCACGTATGTAAGGAGTAAAGAATTCAATTTTGCTGTTCAACCTAATTGAGGGTCTTAGAATATTGCTGCCATATAGGATCCATGTCCCTGCTTTGATCTCCTTCATAAAATCCAAAGAAGGATCTAATCTGGCAGCTCGGCTTCAGTCACTTTCGCACTGCTGCAAGGTTGACTCTTTTTCCCCTTTTTCTATAAATTCTTCCATGGTAATTATTTGGGGGAGCTCTTTGCTATGACTAGTGAGAGTAACTATGTCGCGTGAGAGGGGCTGACATCAAGTGGCACTTTGACGCCTGTTAGGCATCAGGGTATTGTTCTCCCTGTATTAAACTGTGGCAACCCCGCCAGAAATTAGGTTAGTTTAGAGTTGTTTTTGTCTCCTTAGTTTCGGCAGTCCAGTTAACTTAGAGAATAAATGCTCATTAGCCCCTTTTATTTCTGTTCCTATTTTTCTTTTTTTGTTTAATTCCCCATCCCCTCTCCCGTTAGGTGGTCAGTGATGTCAATTCTCTGGTGGATGCGGGGGACCTTTCGTTTCGCGTGTGTGTTTTTGTATTTATTGTTGTGTCTGCTTGAGTGTATGTTTGCTTGGGATGAATGAATGTTTTATGCTATTATAGTCCTACATTGATTTCGTCCAGTTAACTGATGTTTCTGCCACATTTAAGGATTTTGGGGTGGAATTTTTATTAACATTATTTTATTTGGTTTCTTGTAAATATTTTTGTTTTCATATTGTAAATACTCATTTTACATATGTACATATTGGGACTAGTTAATATTTTCATAGAGACAATGAGGTATTATGGTGATTGTAGTAAGAAATGTAAGTAAGAATGCGTTGTTTTGGTGTTAGGAATATTGTTTGTATATTTGGGTCAGTGTTTATGGCTAAAGATAAGACAGAAAAAGACCGTCCTTTTCCCCCATTACCCATTTTTGGCCTTGTGCCACATTTTGAATCATTGTACAAGTAAATATCGTTAGGTGGCCAGTGATGTCAGTTCTCTGGTAGATGCGGAGCGCCTTTCGTTTCGGATTTGGTTTTCATATTTGTTGTGTTTTAATGGGCGTGTGTTTGAGTGAGTGCTTGGGATGGATGAATGTTTTATATTATTAAAGTCCCACATTGATTTAGTCCAGTTAACTGATGTTTCTGAAACATTTAGGGATGGGGGGGGGGAGATTACTAGCATTATTTTGTTTAGTTTCTTGTAAATAGTTTTTGCTTTCATATTGTATCTACACGTTGGGGTTAGTATTTAAATTGTTGTTTTATCCCCCGCCCAGACAATGAATTGTACATATAGGGTCTAGTTAGGATTTTCATAGAGACAATGAGGTATTATGGTGGTTGTAGTAAGAAAGGTAAGTAAGAATGCGTTGTTTTGGTGTTAGGAATATTGTTGTATGTTTGGATCAGTGTTTATGGCTAGCTAAGTTTAACGTTAAGAGAGAAGAAAACTGTCCTTTTCTTCCATTCTCCATTTTAGGCCTTGTGCCATACTTTCTGTATTTAAGCGAAATTAAATATAGCGCTTCGCTTTGGTAACTAGATTTTTTTTGTATTTAATCTCAGGACTAGACTGGCGTCGAGATCTCATCAATTTGCAGTTGCTCTAATTATATGTAACCGTAAGATCTATACTAAAAGTTTCTTTCCTCGAACTTCTCGTTTGTGGAATTCCTTTCTGGCGCCATGCTTTCCAGCCAACTTTAATCTAAAAAAATTTAAATGAAATGTCAATCTCTATCTAATGTACTCCCAATTACTCTTTTCTCTTCCTTACCATAAGTAATGTTTCTGTTCCTAATAGCTCCAAACCCTGTAATCATTTCTGTCTTAGTGGCTTTACTACCTTGCACAGACTGATTCCGATTTAAAAAAAAAAAGAAAAGAAAAAGGTAAACACATTTTAGCAGTAATCCTTCTCTCCAGAATCTGTTTTACACACACACACACACACACACACACACACACACACACACACACACATATATATATATATATATGTCTACCATTCGTCATTGCTTAGATTATTGCTGACACAGGCTCTGGCGCTCCCGCTACACATCTAGAGGTCCTAGATGAAATCCAAAGAAAAATCAGCAATATTATTGGTCCTGATCTGGTGTATCGGCTTCTGTCAGTTTCCCACCGCCGTAAAGTTATTTTTTCTGCGCCAATTCTATAAATTTTTCCCTGGATGAGCACTTCGCTAGTTTTTTAGACTTTAGGAATTTAAGCTCAGAAAAATGCGATTGACTTTGCATTTAAAATTTTGAAGATCAAAGTTACCTGGAAAGCTTGGACCTTCCGGATCCAAGCTGTCCATCACTAAACAGAACATATTTAAACCAGTAGCAAACAGAACACAACCCGACACAGTGCAGATTTTATACTACAAATACAGTAAATGAACAATGAAATATTAAAAGAACATAAAGAAATGTTTTCCTTTAAAAATTGATTCCTTTAATTTGCCTGAAGAGGGTCACGAGACCGAAACCCGTGTAGAAAAATTATGAAGAATAAAATAATATATTCACTTAAAAAAATTCCACATTACAAGCAAAAACGCTTGCTGTTTATGTCTTTAAAAATATATATATATATATATATATATATATATATATATATATATTATAAATTGATTTATTTAAAAAATATGGTTTTGTCGCTACACAGTTCTAACCATGTTAAAAAAAAATTGCTTGAAGTTGAAATGGAACTAATGTCTTTAATTTAATTACAAAATTAAATTCGTAGCTTTTAGCTTCCATTTTTGAAACATAGTTAGAACTGTGTAGCAAAAAAACACATTTTAAATAAATCAATATATAATATTAATGCTCCGTGAATTTACATTGAGCACTATTTTGTAAAAATAAAAATATCTATAAGAACACCGGATTATATATCTTACTGTTCTTTCTTTTTATTTATATATACATATATATATATATATATATATATATATATATATATATATATATATATATTTATAAAAATATAACATAAATATGTTATAAAATCACTACAAAAATAGCCATTTTGTTTCAACACCTCCGGTGTCTTATCAAGTAATGATGTTGAATGAAGATTGTAGAATAAAGATTTTAAACGGTTCAAATTAATTAAATGAGCTGAAATGACCAATCAAAATGCATGTATATACTTGTATTTTGATTCAGCTCATGTAACAGAGTTTCCCATTATGCAGGGTGGTTAATTAATTTGAACGTTTTAAAATCTTTATTCTACAATCTACATTCAACATCATCACTTGATATGACATCAGAGGTGTTGAAACAAAATGGCTATTTTTGTAGTGATTTTATAATATTTATGTTATAATTTTTAAATTAATAATTATATTCGCTCTACTCTGTATTGAGCACTCTTTTAAGAATAGTAATTATTGGTTATTGGAATTTATTCTGTATACACCTATCACATACTTGGATATATATATATATATATATATATATATATATATATATATATATATATATATAAGAGAACATAGAAATCAACATTTAGAGGCGACAGTCTGTTTCATGTTAGACGCAATCGTCGTGGCCTCTGTTTACTTATATGTTCACTTTTTATATTTACACACGCTCTATCTCTGATATTGAGCACTTTATCCCATAAATATAGCACGTCTTAAGATTATATTTCTTCATATATCTCTCTCTATATATATATACATACATACATACATACATTTATATATATATATATATATATATATATATACGTATATATATATGCGTGTGTGTGTGTGTGTGTGTGTAAGAATTATACGAACTTTTCTCATTGATTTATTACCTGTTTACATATATTTGTTTGAATACCAGATGCCCCTTGTGAAATGTTTAATTCCAAAAACCCTTATCTTGGACATGATATATATATATATATATATATATATATATATATATATATAAAAGAGAAGATAGAAATCAACATTTAGAGGCGACAGTCTGTTTCATGCTAGACGTAATCGTCGTGGCCCCTAAGTGTTTACTTCTATGTTCACTTTTATATTTACACACGCTCAATCTCTGATATTGAGCACTTTATCTCATAAATATAGCACGTCTGTAGATTATATTTCTTC